TATTTTAGCAATAATTGAAATGGTAACTTACTGTCATTGGCGTTGCCAGAGGCGGGCTCGAGGGTCCATATCTGCTTCTTCTTGAGACTGGTGCCGTTGGCGTTGATCTTGAAACCGAAGGTCTCTGCGGTGAGGTACCGATAGCGGCTGTTGATGAGGCCGATGGTCCACCAGCCGCGCTGTTGGTTTTGCGTGATGATATCGCCCGCGCTGCCCGCGCCCCCAGCCTCTCCGTTGCTATGACCGTTCACACCGTTCATTTTCACCTGACAAACAAAAGACGAACATCAACTATCTACTAATTTTGCAATAATTATTGTCCCAAATGGTTGGATACTAATATCAGACTGGTTTTTAACCGCAATGTTTCCGTTCCGTTTTCATTATTAAACATCATTGGAACGTGCAAGTTTATGCGTAACCCGATGCAGTGTCATGTCGTATAGCAAGCGAGGTGCGTCGGCGGCCGTCGCACGCTTCATTACCAGCCATTGTAAACCGTGGCGAGCCCCGAACACACGACGCGGCGCCGTAACTAGCAAGCCTCGCATCCTTCGTTCCGCCTCACAGATCGTTATTGTGCCTTCGGTATATTCACAAGAATCTATTCCTATTTATACCGCGCCTAAGTTTACTTAAAATAGAGGTAATAAGAATACTATAGTTAAGTATCATTGAATCATTAAATCTTTACTTTCTAAACCCTTATCGTCATCAGCCAAAATACGTCAGTTTGGTGAGAATTTTAACCAAAATAAGATCATTACCGCCCTCAGCGTCCAATTAAATATTAATTCGTATCTACAAGCTTTTAGCAGTATCAGTGTAATCAGTGTAGTACATATAATATGACAATCTCTGGCTCTGGACTTTACCACAAAACAGTACAAACTCGTGGAGCATTGTATGGTATACAATGAGGAGTATGGTTGTCTACCAACGTGCGCTCTGTCTGTAGCCAGTGTACGTATTGTTCTCTCGATGCCAGTACGTTTTGCCAATGTTACCAACATATCTATCAAGCTTGTTTTTGTTTTCCAGTTTTTTTAATTTAAAACATAACATTTCTGCGTATTTCCATATAAAAAACACGTTTTTCTATCTTCTACGTCACAGTGGTTCGGAGTACATTATATGCAAAATAGTCTCATTTCGAGATATTTTCAAGTTATTTATTGTCATAGAGCGGTTTACTTAAGTTCGGTTTCAAAAAACGGTGGCGGCACAGACTAGTTTCGATCTCATCGGAGGCCCTTCATCAGGATGAGTGGTACTGGTTATCCAGTCGGTGCCGCCACCGGACGAATATACGTGAGTGTTTAGCCGTTTTTATATATCAGTTTAGTATAATTACTCACGAAAGTTTGAACAATTTAACAATATACTGTCCAGTTTCAGGAAGTGAATAATTTAGCGCATAATTAATGAAACAAAAAAAATCTATTATATAGATCACGAAGTTGTCCTTGTTTGCATTTGACACGCTCTGTTTTGTGAAGTTCGGACTCGACGTGACCAAATAGTGTTTAGTGCAGTCTGACGAACAGACTGTGGGAAAACTGGGCGGTACAAAACAAATTAAATTGAAACAATGTTGTTCATTGGATTGGGAACAATAGGCCCGACATAGGGCAGTAACCGTCACGGTTGCTCTATTACCCAAGGACATGGATAAAACTCAAAACGTATAGTAGTCGTCGTGCAACACGTTTTGAGTTTAGATGGATGGATAGATGTAACAGAAACCTTCAGAGCAGTTTAATGGATCTCACTGAAATTTTTATTATATGTAGAAAATGGCCTGGAAGAACACATTAGCCATGTATTAAGTTTTTTAACCGGGCGGTCGGAATCGCGGGCGACTGCTTGTAATAGATAAAACTTAAGCCATCATTGTGTGCATAGTTTGTGACAAAAGTCAAAATACGCGATTCACTGAGTACAATTGTACGCAAGGATAAATGGTGTATTGTTTACCGTTGCGCGACACCGCTATGAATAATTCCGCAGATATCGCCAAATGATTTACTGCGGACTGCGGAGTACCGACCGACAATGAGAGGAAGCGGCTATCGGCCATCGAGAACGTATGTTATTTATGGACGCTACAGTTAAACTAGATAATGCACATTCGCAGGAATTTAATTAGCAATAACATCTCACGGCTGTGACAAGGAGAACATAAAAACAATGGATTTAGCGAGAAATGTGAATTTGCAAGGATACTTTGGAGGATGTAGGACAAGGGCAGAAGAATACGAAAATATTAAGTTGAACAAGAGTTACCCGATATCTAATGAGGCGTGATGCAAATTGCAGCCATTTTGTTAACATAAACGTACAGGCAAGATGTTATTAGAAGTTACGTTAACGCACACGACTCTCCACTGCAATACGGTAAGCAGACTTTCAACGGTCATTTTAGTATTGAATTGATGTTAAAAAATATACTCAAAACAGCTAGCTTAAAGCACTTTTCAGTTTTCAGAAATAGTGTCAATAACAACTGTTCATATTATTGTTGTTATGTGCTGACTTTACGGTAAAGATTAGACGGGATGTTAGAAACTGTACTCTTTTCAAGTTAAGCGGCACCGTTAGCGGCAATGCGGCGCTGTCTCGGTGACTCATACTTGTCCTAACTTAATCACAACTTAAGTGAATTCCGAACTATTAAATATAGAACAACAATTAACGTATTTGATTATGGAATTTGTATCGGATAATATATTTTGTGTAGAATGAATGTTATGTGAACGGCGATTTTTATTAACACAAAGGATCTTTAAGGATGTTTACAACAAAAGCTTTTTTACGAAATTTTGATTGTTTACATTACATACATATTTTTAAAGCATAAACAGAATGTCTGCATGCAAAGAAACACGTGTTAAATAACGATAATTCTGCGGCCAGCGCCCGCGCCGGGTGGCAGCGCCGTTCGATGACCTACCGCCGCGCGCTTTTCGCAAATGTCCACCAATATGTATTTTTAATTTGCTAATTGATGATAATAACTGAATCAGTGATGACAGAATAATCTGAAAACTCCGTACAGCCATGTATTCAAAGGTTTTGTTAGGAAATTAATGAGCTTTGTCTTAGCCAACGTATAAACTTTGTTTTTATAAAGCCATTCTAGATGTTTCCTTGAAGCGCGCACGAAGCGAGTGTAGTGCCATCAAAAGACCGTGACTGGCAGTGGAAGCTAATGACTGATAAATATTCATGGTTGGATACAATTACACAGCTGATCGGCGCTGCACTGTGGCGCGGAGCTCAGCAGACGTTGAACCTCCACCGCGGCCGCAGGCTACGCTGAGACCTTTTGTATGAGAGTAACTACATGCGGAATGTATTAGTTTGAAGCCTTTACAAAGCATTGTATCGTTTATATATGAAAGTGAGAGGTAACATGAAAGTGTGGGAATGTACTACACTGCGGGAAAATTATCAGGCCTTTGTTCCATGAACGTTTTGTGTCATGGAATTAATAGTTTGCGTAAAATTGATTGTTATAACATATTTTACAAGTAAGTAACGATCATTGAGCGTAGGATACGAGCGTTAGAAGTTTTGCAACTTGTTTATAAATGCGGACGTCGCCCTCCCGCGCTCCCTGCACCCAGCACCCAGTAGCTTGATAAGGGCTTATTTATAGCGCGCCCAGACACGACCTGCCCTATCGAAAGACAAACATACAACCGCCCTTAAGTATTCTATTCAATATGTTTACTTAATAATATTAAGAACCAGCAGTAAACTATAATACAAAAAAGGTATAATTATCAGGCATAGGACATTTTAACAGTTAGATTTTCTAAGCACTATCAACAACTTGTAGGTCGTATAGCGTCACAAATGTTTCCTCAATAAAACGGTATTATATCTCCTTATATATTTAGCAAGTCATGTATAACGGTGCTCATAATCAGGTGGACTAACCACGGCTTGCAGCGACAGTTACTGCAGTACTCATGGAGATGTTATTAAGAATATGCAAGCAGTAACATTGACCACTGGTATTAACCCACGTGTGCTTTAATCTTGATCCTCAATTATATACTCAATAAATATGCTGCTGCATGGGTAGGCATGCAGCAGTTTGCGGTTAACTTTGATCGAATTTTAATCCATAAGCTTTAAAAAATGCATTTTATCTAGACTAGTCTTGAACAATTTATGAACACGACCCATATTTCTTTAAGACAGAACGTAGATAATGTAGTTAATTATCTTATAACTTGTACCAGAATTTGATGTTTTAGCGTTAGACCGGTTGCGGTTGCAGCGCCAACACGAAGCTGCTCCCAAATAATACAACAACGGGATCAACATAACAGAGTAACTGCATCTCAGCAAAATGCTTATCGCTAACAGTAAGTCACGAGTCACGACTCAAATACATTGATTTACCGTTGAATTATACTGCCTCGACACGTGTATTATTAGAATCTGTCTTAGCCAAAATATACACAAAATACTGTTTAGAAATATTTAATAAATATATTAAATTATTAAATTTCCTAATTTCAGAGCGCAACATTTCTAGGTAAGCTGTTCTAGTTCTGACTATAATTATTTCATGTAGGATCTAATTGTCTCTCGCCCAAAAGCTTTGAAGAAAACACCAGTGTAAGTGACACTTATATGAAGAGGAGGTCCCTCAAGCCACTCCACCGAGGACCTCATGTCAACTAGCTCAAGTTGTCGTTGACTCGGTCAAGTGATATGGGCCCATCGACTCACTGTCCCAGCTTAAATTCATTTGAAAGCTTTTCAGTTCATTTTAATTTACTTGTCATGAGACTTCTAAATTAAAACACTATTTGTTTTTGGATAAAAGTGGACAGAGAAGTAAACCTGTTCATAAGCCTAAAATAGCTGCTTCTGTCCGATACATTACTGGGAATACAACTTTAATTCAACGATTAAAGAACGTTTTAGAATAGTTTACTAATGTTTACTTTCTAATTTCACAAGATTGTTCTAATTTGAAACTTATTCAAATACATTCATTTACTCAACGCCTTAGTTATAAAATGTAAATGTTCAAAACTCTTATATATTTATGTGATTATAATAAGAGATATGTCCAATTAAAACGGGTAGTCAAAAAGGTAATATTGACTTTCGTTTTACCATAAATTATTAAGTTAACTATCAATTTGTTGCTAATTAGTCTGTTCCAGTAATTATGTTTTGACATTTTTATTTGTGGCTTCCTGAGTTAAGGTAAATTAATTTACATTTAGTTTGTATGCAT